GGGGGGGGTGTAGGGGGGGGGGGGTGGCGGGGGGGGGGGGGGGGGGGGGGGGGGGGGAATGAGATGACACGATCTAAATTTAAAAGAAAAAAAAACGAAACAAAGTATAACTATTGAGCTGAATTTGTTTTTTTTTTTTTTTGGTAAGTAAACTTGTATTATGCCAAGCTGAATTTGGGTTTACCATTAAAGCATATAAGAAATTAGAGATATCTACAAAGTTGGATATTTGCCCATTTAATTTCTAGTTTTTGTCTCCTCAGTCGTTACACCAAGAGTGGTATTCAAGAATTGCATGTATGAGCTACAATGAAAAACAAAAAAGGAAGTGGTCGGATTTTTTGAGTTTTTATATGATGAATTTTAGATCTATCCTACTTCTAAGAAAAAATGTATAAAGAAATCTTTGTGCTATTAGTATGATTTGACACCAAATCGTGCTTGAGAATGGACAACTCTCTTAAAAGTTAAGAACTACAAAACTTTTATAGTCACAAAATATAATTATCAGAGTGCAGGGTATCTTATGTATGTTTGTATATTGTATTCTCTATTTTGGTGGAGTTATGTCAAAATTATGCACTCTTTATCATTATACAAAGTTATATTCATTGATCCCTAATTCTCCAATGAAACCAACTTATAGATAACTAGGAACAGACTTCCAATCACTGCTGCAGTACATGTTTTGCACAAAAAAGACAATATCTGAAATGATTTTCATGTAAATAAACAATCCAATGGGCAAGAATGATTGATAATTGTCTGGCACACAATTAAAAGAAAGAAGACCGTTTCTTTGTATAACAATAAAAAAGCCATAGAATCAGCAGAGCATTGCCCGAAAAAACACAAGGGCACATCGTGTTTAGCGATACGAATCTGAACGCTTTGGCTTGCTTTGAACAACAGCCTCAATCTTCTCCATCACAGCAGGTGTCAGCAGTGGAATGACATCAATTGCCTTCATGTTCTCTTGAATCTGCATTAATGGAAAATCAGGGTTTGAATGGAAGGAATAGATTACGAGAAGCAGAAAAAACAAGTGAGAGATGGGATAATTGGGGGTTGGCTTCTACAGATGGATACTATAAAGCTCGAGTTACAGTTGTAGTTGCCATATGGATCACTGACCAACTAGCAATGTCCTACAAAACAAACCCCTCTTAAATCACCTACCATCACATGTAGATACAATTAAGAGTGCATGTCGTAGGGGGAGCATGTCTAAACACCACTAATCAGAACTTCCACGGTATTTATCTGTATTTTCTTTTTCAAAGTTCCTGTGCTAAAAAGTGAATCACCAATATGAAATTAAAATCATACATATCAATAACTATGGGGAGCTTGTCTAATGTTATTACACAATGATAATATTCAAATTTTGGACAAAATATGTTCAAAATTTGAATGTATTCCCTTGTGTGTGTTCATAGAAAATAAAAAGAATGATAATAATTGTAAAGCTATCCAACTAATCGTAGAAAGGTTAACGGAAAATATTGTTTAGTTTACTAGAATCAGTGGTGAGCAGCACAGAACTTGAATCAGTCAAATGGCATATGGGGGGCTTTCCTTTGTTAGAAATGCACAGACAACATCCTGGAAGTTACAAACCAAAAAAAAAAAAAAATTGCAAAATAAGAAAGAGCTTTTTACATTCACATGTTGTAATGTCAGAGCTCTTCCCACTTCCGAAGTTTATATTACAAATCTCTCAATTTGTTCAGGAAAATCAAGGGGTCACCCTTTTCCGGACATTGAAATCCTCTTAGTTCCTAATTCTTACACATTGCCCATTTAATATTGTGCATGTCTTCCTCAAAATTCTTCTTACTCCCAAATAAACTCTATTTTTTTTTATTGTCTTAATCACTTCCTGCCTCACTAAATTCCTTGGTGATTGCCTTATGATTGGCCTTGTACATTCGTTTGCAACTCCCTGCCTACCAAAATCTCCTTTTGTTTTTCCTCCTACTCAGGGTTTTCAATAGAATCTCTTTCCTTTTNTACTCCCAAATAAACTCTATTTTTTTTTATTGTCTTAATCACCTCCTGCCTCACTAAATTCCTTGGTGATTGCCTTCTGATTGGCCTTGTACATTCGTTTGCAACTCCCTGCCTACCAAAATCTCCTTTTGTTTTTCCTCCTACTCAGGGTTTTCAATAGAATCTCTTTCCTTTTTTCGGAAGGTCAATAGAATCACTCTCACTCAGAAAGAAAAAACTACAATTACACTAATCTTCTGATATTTGTACAAGAAGATTGTGGAAATTAAGAATGTGATAAATTCCATAATTGCATGTTAAAAAAATGCTTTCACTTTGATAAACAAATGGCCACACAAATCAATTGGCAGTAAGAAACGAAGTACAGAACACCACATCCACAAATACCCTATGCAAAAAAAATAGACACAAAAGATAAAAGTTTCACTTAGGCAGAAAATCCGAAGTCAACACAGCTTCGCCTACGCCTTAGACAAAAAAAAATTAAAAAAAAAAATTTCAGAGGAAAGAACTGGATTATGGCCTTTCTTTGGAATACTTGGGCAGAAAAACAGGAAACAATCAAAAAAAAAGTGTAATATCCCAGATTCACATCCTCAAGAAAAGCTTTTACAGGTAAATACACTGACCTGAGACTCCTTAGTGGCACCAGTAATAACTGATGAGACATTAGGATTGGTAGCACACCAAGCAATTGCAAGTTGAGAAAGAGGCACACCCAGTTCATCTGCAATTGGTTTCAATCCATTAACTTTCCTTAGCACGTCGTCCACCAATGATCGGCTAGCGAGGTTCTACAAGGCATAAGATGATGATGAAATTCAATTTACTCCTAAAAGGCATATTAGAAAATAGAAGAATAATAAGATAAAAAGAAAGTGGTGAAACCGTAAAAGTGTATAACATGATGCGCAACATCAAAGGAAAAGCAACGAAGTCTTAGATCTCAAATCCAGAAGTAGAAAGCCTACTGAAAGAGTGCTTTCATGCAAACAATCTTCTTCACTCTTAATACTCTGCTCCTAGCCCATATGGGTCAAAGATTGCCAGAGCAACTCAAATATTTCAGAATTGTCAAAGTTGTGCAACTANACTTAAAACTCTGCTCCTAGCCCATATAGGTCAAAGATTGCCAGAGCAACTCAAATATTTCAGAATTGTCAAAGTTGTGCAACTATAAGTAATGTGATAGTCAACTCGCAACTGGAGAACAAAGAGGCATGTTCTGTATGAAGTTCTGCCAAATGATGTGTGTTTATGAGCATCAAGATAGATACGCTGAGGTAAATAGACTCTCTTGTTGATCACATACGGAATACAGGCAATGGCATAGGGGATGAGAAGGATCGAGACAAATAAAAGGAGGCAAGAACCATACGATGGCATCCGCAGGAAATAACTGGGAAAATAAATCCAGAATGGCCAAAGTTCTTTCAAAGAAGTTTAAATCATTGATAGTGGCTGAATTTTAGATATCATACAGATCAGTTCTCTAAGAATGTTTGGTTGAACAAAGGAGCCACACCTCATAACACATTGCAAACTCCCAGTTCTGGAGAGTAATAGTTAAGTAGAGTCTGGCAACTCTTCAAACCAGCGTCTGAAAATACCATTTCGCAGAATGGTCTACCTCCAACAGTAGCATTCATTATATCATTTTCCTTTTTGGACAAATGACAAAAACTGTCCAAGTATATGTGGTTTTTGAAATTTGTTGTAATAAACGATGTAACAANGTTTCGCAGAATGATCTACCTCCAACAGTAGCATTCATTATATCATTTTCCTTTTTGGACAAATGAAAAAAACTGTCCAAGTATATGTGGTTTTTGAAATTTGTTGTAATAAACGATGTAACAACCAAGATCAAAAATAAATTATGGGAAGAGCATATTAACAGGAAACTACAGAGATTAGAATCCTAATTTACGAATAAGCAAATATAAATATTGATAAAACCTTTGACTAGAGAACATTTCAGATTTTACCTTGTAATTGTCCAGTGCAAACCGACTATCAGGTGGAATGGTTCCCGAGTTATATTTCCCAGTCAGAACTCCAGACGCAAGTGGACTCCATGTGGTAAGACCTATGCCATAGTTAGTATACAGAGGAACAAACTCAGACTCAACCTGCAGAAGCACAACAACATTCCAAATTTATAAATGTGACAAAGCACATATATTGAACCAAACAGAAGTTCATCAATTCTAGAAATCACAGCAAAAATGTATTACTACAACAGTAAAAGAGAACATTGTATGATCCAAAAATCAAGGGAGGAAAGTACTATATCCAAGGAAGATTTAGTTAGCGGAACTCTTACATCAGATAAAAATTTGACATTTAGCAATTAACTGGACCAAACGCACCACCTCGAGAGATGCTCTTGAGTGACCCAGAGAATTCCCACAAGTACTGAATGGCAGCCAACTCAATCTCTAGTCACATGAAAGAGCAAAAACCGAAAATGCTGCACTCTCTAGATGTCCTCTCCAGGTGAAGCCCCAGTTAAGAAGAATCTCACCTTGACAAGGTGACACTACCATGCCCCTTCCAAGGTCGCATTCTTTGCCTTGAATATTTCCCAACATATCCAACTTCTACAGTAGGGTTAGGGATCTCTCCCTGATGTATCCTGAATGTATCTCATTAATTCATCCCTAACAAAGACAAAATCTACGGTTTTAAAGTGGACACTAACTTAAGGCTCCAGTAATCACCCTCACAATATTTCTCACTCAAGGCACTCCACCCTCATACATATCCTTAATCATATCAGTATACTTATTTCTATATTTCTCCTTCTATAAAACCTACCATTTTACATCACTCGAGACTCAATCCTATATAATTCCTCTAGGTCTATAAAACCGACATGAAGGTCTCTCTATTTTTTTCCCTCTATACGTTTCCATTGGTCTCTTAGTTACCTATATACCTTCCATTGTTAACCTCGTAGGCACAAATCCAAACTACTTCTCAAATATTGTTATTTCAAATCTTAAACTTTGCTCAATGTCTCTCCCCAAAATATCATTATATGACTCATTAATTTAATAACTCAACAATGTGTATCTCTGAATGTCACCTTTATTGTCATAGATTGGTATTAGATTAATCTACTCCACTCATCAAGGATTTTCTTCAAAGGAAAACTGAGAAATTTAGAAAACCAAGATACTTCGACATTCTCTTAATATTTCCTCTCTTTAGTAAATTCTTTCCTTCATACACTCCAATTCCAAAGAAAATTTTATGTAAGCTAATCTCCACATGCTTACTATTTTCTTTTCTTTTCTTTTCTTTTTTCAACACCTAAATTCCCTATATTCATCTAATAATTTTTTCAACTATTTTTCTATTTTTCCTTAATTTTTTCTCATTTTGTGTAGACCGTTAGATCCTCACTTCTAATACATCTAATATCCCTAGGTTTTCTTCCTCTTGATTTAGCAAATCTACATACACTTTTATCTCCTTTTGTATCTAATCTAGAATAAAACTCACTTTGTGGTTTATGTTTAGCTCCTCCAACCATTTTTTTTAACTTCTTTACTTACAAGCTTATATTAATTTTTAAGTTTGAGAAACAACTATTTCAGAAAAATAACTTCCTAGATTTCAAACAAGCATTCAAGCAATATCAACATTTTAACATCAAGCATTACATAATAGACAGCAATATAACTACTGAATATAATGCCATTACCAGCAACAAATCGCCCAAAATTTTCTCCCTAGTCCTCAATTTGCATGCAAATTTATGCAATTACCAGCACCCAAATCATTGAATCTAAGTACAAGATTTACTTCCGTGTATGAAACCAACTATTATTCGAAACCCAATGCAAATTTACCATATTAACAAACATTTATCCTCCAAGTAAGCACACAAGTACCCATCACCTTCAGACCATTAAACAAAATATACTCCATCTGATCCACAATCTGTTCAAGATCACAATACCCAGTGTATAGCGAAATTGAAGTACACCCATTTCACATAAAACAGAAATTCAAGGAAATATCACATATTATGTACCGACTATTAAATTCACATCATCTGTGTATATACCTTAACTCATCTAGTAAACGTCTACAGAATAAAAATACAAGCTAATGCATCAATCAACAAATATTAATTATCTGACTATGCACCAAATCTCCTCACAATTTCACCTAAACAATCAAAACCACAAGAAAATGCACCAAACAACAAAAATATATCATCTGGGTATGCCCCAAAATTCAATTACCTTGTGCCTATTGAGCAAATTGTACTCCGGCTGCTCCACAATCGGCCCAACAAGATCCAACCTCTGCGCAATCCCCCACGCCTCCGTGATCTGCTGAGCAGACCATTCACTGGTTCCCCAATAGTACGCCCACCCTTTATCAATCACATAATTCATTGCCCTCACAGTCTCCTCAATAGGCGTACCCGAATCAGGCCTATGGCAATAGATCACATCCACATACTCCATATCAAGCCTTTTCAACGAAGCCTTAGTGCCCTCTATTATGTGTTTTCTCGATAAACCCTTGTCATTAGGTCCAGGACCTCCCCAGAAGATCTTGGTTGAGACAACAATGTCCGAGCGTTTCCATCCGAGCTCTCGAATGGCTTGGCCCATGATCTCTTCTGCTCGGCCGTTGGCGTAGACCTCGGCGTTGTCGAAGAAGTTCACTCCGCGGTCTCGGCAGCATTGGAGGAGCGATTTGGCTTCTTTCACGTCTAGTTGGTTGCCGAAGCTGACCCAAGCTCCGTAGGAAAGCTGAGAGACTTTGAGACCTGATCGACCCAGATTCTTGTACTGCATTTTGAAGATGAAGCAGAGAAATGAGTGTCTGTGTGTGTGTGTGTGAGAGAGAGAGAGAGAGAGAGAGAGTGAGGGGGTAGAAAAAGGGGAGAACAGAGAATGTAGGAGGGCAGAAAAGACCAGAAGGGGCTAGAAAGAGAGGCTGGAGCAGAAGGGAGGAAAGAAAATCTAAGAACGGCAAGCAAAATGCTGCTAGGCGGTGAATTTAAGAAAGAGACCCCTTGTGGTCAAATTTTTGATTGCCGTAATTGCTTATATTCCCCGATTCTATCATATTTTATCGAACGAAAATTGGATAGAAATGCACAAGAATTTTTGATCTTTCGATTAAATTGGGTAAAAATATGAAATGTCTATTAATTTATGTATTCCTATTCGTAAAAAATATATTTAATTTTTTAATTTTTTTTTTAGTAATTATAAGAGTATTTATGTAATATAATTTATATTATAACATTATTATTATTGTAGATGTTTTAGTTGTGAAAATATAAACTTGTTTTTTTGTGTAGGTTACATAATTTGTGGTGAACTAGTAAACTATTTGAGCGGTTATGATTTTAATGTGTTTCATATGGTTTAAATTTAAAATAATTGTTTGTATTTGTGTAACAATTATAATGAATTGATGTTTATGTTTTATTGTAATTGTTGTTATAGTTGTTTTAAGTTTTAGTATTATTGATTTATTGTATTGTTAAATTGATGCATGTTATTTAATTGAATTGTTAAAATGATCCAAAAATTAATAGTTACAAAAGTGTTTATCCGATTTTCTACCCGACTTCCTACCCGATTAATTGGGTAGGAAGTCGAAAAGGAATACCACACCTGATCGGGTAGGATAGGCCAAAAAAAAATTCTTCCATAAAGTATTGGGTAGGAAGGCGGAAGACAATATTTCCTATCCATAGGGCATGTTTGTTTCGAGTATAAAATTTATGTGGTATAAAGTTTTATATTCATTCCACTCCAATCCAATAGTATATTATACCCGGTGTTAAATTATAATCTCATCATTCTCCTTATTTGTTTATCACAAATATTATCTGTGTAATATCTACTTAAAAAATCAACAATTGCGGCTAACCAATATAAAAGACAATTTTAACATTTAAAAAGTCAAAAATTGCAGTTAGGCTTTTATATGGGAATTGTATCANAATCAACAATTGCGGCTAACCAATGTAAAAGACAATTTTAACATTTAAAAAGTCAAAAATTGCAGTTAGGCTTTTATATGGGAATTGTATCAGAGGGTATTTCAGTCTTTTTAATTTATAAAACTTATACCAAGAATATAATACACCCCTTAAGTGGTATTCATTAAGACCTTCTACAAGGCATTATGACTACTGTTCATAGCGGGTCGGTATTACAACCCAAAAAATGGTACTGACTATAAAATGTCAAACAAACAACGTATAAAATAGGTCTCACATATTATTTTCCTAATACCACCTCCTTATACCACTCTAATACTCAAAACAAACGGCCTCATAGGGTATGGTGAACACCCTTACATGGCTCTTTCGGGAGAATTACATCAGCACCTCTTAAAGTTTATGAATTAATCATTCAGACTTCTTAGATCTTATCATTAATGTCCGCTAATATATATATTAATATATTATAATTATATCTCCTAAAATTTATAAACTTATAATATTTAAATCTCTCGAGTTTAAAATGTAATATTTTGATTAAAAATATTCCAATCAAAGATAGAATATCAAATATTTTAAATTTTACAACTAAAATTTATGTTCTATTATGACATTTATTGAAATAAAATCAAAAAAAAAATTTAAAATTTTTCTCAAAAAAATATAATTAATATAAAATTATATTATCTATTGGAATTTAATTTGATCGCTTAAACGATCAAATTAAACTATTGTATTCATTACAGTTTAATCTCTTATTTAATTTTATAGTTTTATTTTAATATATCGTATAATTGTATACTAATTACGATTTTAAAAAAAAATTGAATTTTTATTTTTGATTTTATTTCAATAAATGATACAATAAAACATAAATTTAAGTTGTAAAATTTAAAATATTTGATATTCTATTTCTGTATTTTTTGTTAAGTACGACATTTTAAACTTGAATGATCCAAGTATAACACTCCTACAAACTTCAAAGGGTCTAAGTATAATTTACTAACGAATATATTAGCGAACATTGATGACAATAGTTTAAGTATTACGCGCGTACAAATTTTAGAAGGTTTGTATATAATCTATACTACTTATAAATATCAGCATGTGTGAAAAAATTTTGATTTCCTATTTCTCCCTTATTTGTTACCATAAAGTCAATTATACCCACATATTTTCCTGTCTTTCATACTTACTTGACTTCCAAAATATTAGCTAGATAAATTTTATCTCTATGACTTGGTAGATAAACTTTATTAAAATATTACATAGACAAACTTAATCAAAATATTAGCTAGATAAATTTTATCTCTATGACTTGATAGTTAAACTTTATCTCTATGACAATAAATTTTTTTTTTTCATTCAATTATACAAACTCTACTAGAATTTTAATACCACATATTGGTAATTTTTAGGTAAAAGAGATAAAATATATATCTATGACAATACATTTTTTCTTTTCCATTCAATTGTACAAATTCTACTAGAATTCTAATACCACCTATTGGTAATTTTTAGGTGATACATATACATATATTTTTTTGTCTTTCCTACTTATTAGACTTCTAAAATATTTTGAATTCCTTCATATATATATATATATATATATATATATATATATATAAGAGAGAGAGGTAGGATTCTAATACCACATGAGATCAAACTTTTCAGTAAAGTTATTAAACAAGTTTTTTCTTCCATTCATGTTAGAATTAGAAGTTGGCCTCCCATAGTCATTTATTTGAAGTTATGGTCTCATGTCCTTTGTGACAAACTCAATGAAGTCGAAGTTGGAGCTTTCGGCATAATTGAGGTTAGTTTATCAATTCTTCTGTTTTAGTTTTTTAATTCATATGTTTACATTAATTCCTATATTCTGTGGCACTTAGTTTTTCTTAATTTAATGTCAAGCAGCTTTCTAAGAGATAGGTGTGGCAAGTCAAATATTCGGCACAATAATTGAGGTTAATTTATTAATTCTTATGTTTTAGTTTATTAAATTGGTGTGGCAGGTCAAGTATTCGGTATAATTGAGGTTAGTTTATTAATTCTTATGTTTACGTTAAAATTTTCTATGTTAGTGTTTTTTTGTTTTATTACAACCTCTCGTGAATCCAATTTTTTTGGCTCATATAGCTAATTGAAAGCTTGTTTAAATCTCCTATAATATTGACCTAATTATTCTTAATTTTTGAATTGATGGTAAATTTCAACATTTATTGAGACCAACAATCAATCCAATAATAAATAAATTAGATCCAAATAAAACCTGATATGAAGGAAAAACAGCTTGAAAATCAAAAGCATGACCCGTTAATAAATAATATGTCATATAGAAACTATGTAGAAACTACTTAAGACATGATTTGCTTTTTTTTTTCCTCTTCAATCATTCGCACTAAAATCTTCTAAAAATGATATTAACAAGTCTAGGAGAACAGTAAATAGAAATGTGACCTGTGAATGAAAAAATTCTACACAAGAAATCATAGACAAGGCTTTCAAGGATCACAAATGTGGTTAACATAAAAATACCTAACATAACATGGCAAGCACCACATAAAAAATTTAATTAACAGAAGCCAAAAGAAATTACTACAGAAAAAATATACTAACACTCTAAAAACATTTTTGAATTAGGAGTGACTAAAATTGCAATTTACTGAGTTTACATAAACAAATTCATTTAATAAAAATCTGTTCATGATCAATGAATTAACAAGAATAGAAAATTTTTTAACCATCAACATTCTGAAACTTATCCAATCAAAACCCCAATGCATCAAGGGTTTGCATATAAGATAAAAGCTTCTTGTCTGAACCTCTACAATCTAAACCCAAAGAAGCATCTGAAGAAGTATAAAATTTCAACCAATTAATAATGACACTTGCAATCCAACTCCATTTTGAGAATCCTTCAGAATGCATGTAAAGAGAGTCGGTTATTCCAAGAAAATATAGACCTCCTATGTTTTAAAGTGAAGACATAGATTTTTCAGAAGAGAGAAGGGACTATTAAGAGAGCAAACAAAAAAAACTCCAAACTGGAACTTATTCAAATAACGGGTATAACTTGGGTGAGTTGAGAAGACTGAGAAGTTGATGTAATTTTTAATTTCATTTATCATTGTTTGTGTTTACTTGTTTTTTTGGGTAGAGTTTATCAATTTTTAGATAAAATATAAAGAATGGGTCTTTTAAGGACGTCTATTAACTTACAGTCAAACAATCTCAAACCTATTTGTTAAATTTTGTAAAAGAGCGATTGAAATCGATTCAATCCTTAATACTCTGTAATCAAATTTATTAAACTTAATTTTTCATTGCTCATATTCTATTATAGCATTATAAATAAAAATTGTATGTTCCAAAAATTCGTTATTCTAACTATAAGAAAAAAGATTTAAAAAAATAGTTAAAGTTAGGTACCACCCCAAAAAAAAAACTTGAATGTACTATGTACCATATTTTTGAGTATTTTTATATGTACCATGTTTTTGAGTATTTTTATCATTTATTGGCTGAAATTTATCAAATTTTGAGGTTAAAAGATTAAGTGCATTTTTTATTGGTATTTTAATTATTCACTTACGTTTACAAAAAATAATTTAATTTTATTATTCATCAACTTTGTATTTCAAATAAATTTAATAACAAATTAATGAACTAATTTTTTTTCACGTGCAACGCACGTGTGCATTACTAGTATTTCAAATGTCATGATGTCTGAGTGATTAAGTAAAAAGTTTCAGGGGATCTGAGTATAATTCTTCCTAATTTTTAAGGAAGATTTTAAATCAAGTTTTACTTTTGTTTTTCCAGCAAAAATAAGTGAGAAAAAAAAATTGTGAGAATTATAATTTTTATAGATCAAGTTATAATAAAAAAATTAAGATTAGTTCTAAGATTTTATAATGAATTTCAACAAACACAATTATTGGAGTCAAATTGTATCCCATTTGGGGTCAGTTATAGTTTTTAAAATTTTTTTATCGTCTCTAATATTTTATTCTTAATAAAAAAATATTTT